TTCCAAACCAGGCACGAGGTGACTGCTTCAATCCATACAAGGCCTTTTTTAATTTACAAACTTTATTTTCTCCCTTCACAGAATCAAAACCAGGAGGAATTTCCATGTAGACTTCTTCTTCTAACTCACCATTGAGGAAAACATTCTTCACATCAAATTGGTTTATATCCCAATTGTAATGGGCAGCAAGGGATAACAAAACTCTCACCGTATTCATCTTTGCAACTGGAGCAAATGTTTCTTCGTAATCAATGCCATAGGTTTGAGAGTAACCTTTGGCAACTAATCGAGCTTTGTATCTCTCAAGAGTTCCATCAGAATTATATTTCAGGGCATAAACCCATCTGCATCCTACTGCTTTCTTTCCAGTAGGTCTATCAATAAACTCCCATGTTTTATTTTTCTCCAATGCATTCATCTCCTCTTGCATGGCTTGAGCCCAATTCCTATCTTTCAAGGCTTCATGTACTGATTTTGGGATTGCAATAGAGTCTAGTGCTGAAACAAAGCTTTTGTGCTGCACAGAAAGATTAGCAGAGGAAACAAACTGGGAGATAGGGTATTGAGTACAAGAGGGACAAGATTTCTTGGGACAAGCTCTTTTTCCTTTTCTAAGAGCAATGGGTAAATCATCAGAATCAGTAGTAATCGGTAAGTCATCAGAAGTATTAACATCATGATCAGAAATATGAGATTCAGGACTTACCAGTGGTTCAGACGATTGAGGTTGTTGCTGAGACAATGTGGGATGTTTCCTTCTTTCAGGTGTCATAATCTTTTGTATCTCTGGTGTACTTGATGTATCAATCACAGGAGAATCAGTCACATGAGGATTACTCACAAGAGGATCAGACACAGGAGGAACAGACACAGGAGGAACAGGACCAGGTGGAGGATACACTGACATAGGTAAAGGAGTAGACACTGATGATTCAAACTCAAAGAAGGGAGGTGATGAGATTTCTGGTGAAGGATTCTCCCCCTGAAGATGAGGACCTTGGAAAAAGGACTTAGATTCCTGAAATGTAACATCCATAGAAACAAAAAAATTTCTACTACTAGGGTGATAGCACTTGTAGCCCTTCTTATCAGGAACATAACCAAGAAAAACACATTTAATAGCCCTAGGGTCCAACTTACTGCGATGATGTTTATGAACATGAACAAAAGAAACACACCTAAACACTCGTGGAGGAAGACTCATCATAGTTGGAATAGAAGGGAAAAAAGAAGTCATAGAGTGAATAGGACTTACATGGTCAAGTACCCGAGTGGGTAAACGGTTGATCAAGAATGCTGCAGTAAGAATAGCATCTCCCCAATAGTATTTGGGTACACTGAAACATTAATGCACGAGCCACTTCAAGAAGGTGACGATTCTTTCTTTCAGCAACCCCATTCTGTTGGGGGGTGTCAACACAAGTAAGTTCATGAATCATACCATTATTTCTTATAAATTAGGCAAAGCTATGATTAACATATTCAGTAACATTATCTGTTCTTAGTCTCTTGAGTTTTTTACCAAACTGGGTCTCAATCATTTTATAAAATTGAAAGAACAGTTGTGGTACCTCAGACTTTTCACGCATTAAGTACACCCAAGTTACACGAGTGCAATCATCATTAAAAGAAACAAACCATCTATTTCCAGAACCATGAGGGACTTTAGAGGGACCCCAAACATCAGAATGAATAAGATCAAAAGGTTCAACACTCTTAGTAATACTAGAAGGAAAAGACACACGATGATGCTTAGCAAATTCACAAACATCACAATGAAAAGACTCAACAGATTTAGACAAAAACAATGACGGAAATAAAGATTTGAGTAAACTAAATGGAGGATGACCTAAGCGCTTATGATGAAGCCAAATCAAAGAATCAGCAGTTGATTGACCATGAGACATCAAGATGTGATTTGTTACTTTATTTGCAGGAGATTGTGACACCAGATAGTACAGCCCACCTTGCTCTTTAGCACTACCAATCGTCTTCCCCGTGGCGAGATCCTGAAAAACACAATGGGTAGGATAAAAGGTTACAGTACAATTCAGATCTTTTGTAATTTTATGAATAGAAAGAAGATTCGTGGAGAGTTTAGGAACATGAAGAACATCCTTAAGATGTAAGGACTGCTGTAAGTTTATGTCACCAGATCCCGCAACTGATGTATGAGAGCCATCAGCTACGGCTATTGTATGAGTTCCAATGGTAGGATGATAAGAGGTAAAAGAGTCAGCACAACAAGCCATATGATCAGTAGCACCAGAATCAACAACCCAAGAATGTTTAAAATCATTACATGAAGAAAGGAAAGAATAAGTTTTGGAGCTCGTACCAGTCATAGTCAAAGCACTAGTGTCAGATGGCTTACTCATAGAATCAAGAATGGTTCGGAGCCGTTCCAACTCATTTGGACGAAATGCAGGTTGGGTCTTATTAGGTGTAGGAGTTATTTCAGAGGAAGTAAAATGCGCTTGACCACGCAACTTTGCCATCTTTTCTAAGACAGATTGCTTTCCATAAAGGCGAAAGCATAAATCCTTGATATGACCTGTTCTTTTACAATAAGAACACCATCGATCATCTCTCTTAGGTCTAGAAGAGGTACCATCATAAAATTTTGAAAAAGAACTCCTTTGAGAAGAGGCCATACTGCACAGAAAATGGTCAAAGAAAAGCTCCAAGAAGCCAAAAAATCACAAATAAATACCAAACGATGTCCGATCAAAGAGAGGAGCACAGATCCAGAAAGAGGATGAAGGGACGATCAAGATTGCGGTGGTCCGATCCGGAAATATGATCTCACGTGCCGCCACGCGCCGGTGAGATTGGCTGTCTTGTGATGAAGAATAATGGAGACGATGAACAGTAATAGAGATCCAGTATAACAGAGATCTTCTCGGTCCAAGAGGTCCCCGGAAAAAAAAAATCCGGTGGCGGCTGATGGCAGCGAGAGACAAAAAGAATAAAAGGTTCTTGTTCTAAAGACAATAGGAGCGGAAGCAGAGCCCTCAGGATCGAGAGCTCTGATACCAACTTGAAATAAAAGGGTATTTGAAATATTATTGAATCGTATTTGAATCTGTACATAGGGGTCTCTATTTATAGAGACTTCTTGACTTAATTTTGACCTAATGGGCTTGGCCCAATATACAAGTAACGGACTAAATAAATACAAATAAATGACTACATAATTACTATTTAATACAAATAAATGACTACATAATTACTAATAAATGACTACATAATTACTATTTACAACACAACTATACTTAGTATTTCTACAACTTTGGAGAGATGAAATGGGACACTTTTTTTTTTTTTTTTCCTTTTGGTTACATAGGAGGGTGTAAGCACATGGATAGCGGAGAGCAATAGGTGGCTTAATGGAGATTGAACCTTCAACATCATCATCATCCAAATTGAGCTACAAGCTCATTCGCGATGACCAAAAAAAAAAAAAAAAAACCTAAAGGACAAACTGAGTAACATTTATATTACATTTCAAGAAACAGAAAGAAAGCAACATAATAGCTTCAGTGTTTCCAGAATAAGATTCGTTTTCTGTTACCAAACTATTTAAAAAATCATCGGGTGAAAAGAAAAAAAATTTCAATCAACCTAAGAAACTGCTTATACGGGTCGTTATTTACGTTCTGTGTGTCGCTTATATATTATTATTATTTCTCGTATGAGATAATTTTATTTTATGTACATATAAATATACGAGATTCTTGTGAAATTATGTAAATAAAAAGAAAAAGAAAAAACAAAAAAACAAAATAACATGGGCCCATATAAACTTTTATGTGTGTAAAAGATTAAATAATTTTCTATAATATAAGAAACGTTAATCTTATTTGACTTACAAATTTGCAGCAAATTGAATGGAAAAGCCATAAAATATATCTTTGTTGATTATTCAAGTAGCTCTAAAGCTTACCGGATCTACAATCCCATGTATGGGAATATTATTATTAATAAAAATATGATATTTAATGAGGAAAGATGGTGGATATGGAAAGAAGACAAACAGGGAGACTTTCATATAATCGAAGAATTGGTCAACCAGTCTAGGACTTAACTCTTAAGTGAACCACTGTACCAAGAATCTGGTTGGTGACGTGTTATTGGTCAACCGGCTGAACCGGTCACCCACGGCGTTGAAAAACACGGCTTCATTGTATTCTTTGCATTTTGTCCTTCTCTTCAGTTTTACCCTTTCGAAGGTCAAAGCATTGTTATCAACGTTGTTCAGGTTGCTGTTGTGTTGGATCTATCTTTGTGTTCTGCTGTTGCTTCTTTTATCATTCGATCTGCCGTTTTGGTTCATGATTGAGCTTCTGCCATTTTAGAACTTTCTTTTTTTGTATTTTTTTTCTCTCAATATTATTAGTTGCAAACCGTTAAACGGAAGCTAATATAAGCTATCCATAGCAGTTTGGTTTTCTTGTATGTTGAAGATTTGTGTGGAATTGGAGAAAGCAATTAAATCCTGCAATGAGTTAATTAAGATATCTAGTCATGGGAATGGAGAAAAATGGTATTGGGAATGTTGCTACCAAATAAAGGTCGATATAAGTCTGAATCGGATTAAATTGGGAATCCTGAAATGTCCCGTCAAGACACTACTTATATACAAGTTTATCTTTACATATTTGCATAGATATTATTTCTCGGATTTCAACTCATGATCCTTCGGTAGCAAAAAAAATAGCTTTTACCATTGCTCTATATTCGTTCTCTTTTTCCGGGAATATACTCCAGTTTGGAATAAAAACAAAAGTAAATACATTTGGTGCAAACCACGGGAGTACCTTAAACAAAAGTAAAGTCATTTGGATCGTAGTAACTCTTAGTGTGTTTTTGGATTTACTTATTTTGGAAAAATAATTGTTTTATTATTATTATTATTTTGGTAACTTCGTAATTTAATCTATTTCCAAACATAGGCGCTTAATGGGCTGAAGCCTTTGTTATTTGTACTGCAATTGCCGATGGGTGACTGGACTGGTTTGCATAGAAGGGAATTGATGTTATTGCAGTTCTGATTAGAAAATAAACGGAGCACTGATTTAATTGAAAATGTAGGAAATATTTAACAAATACCTGGAATAAGGAATGCATTTCAATAGAAAATTGTAAAGATTAGATTTGAGTACAATTCAGTTCTAATTCTTAAGTAAATGATTGATTTTGTAGTTCATATATTCATGTTCGTTAGCAATCAAACTAGAGAAGAAGCTTTTTATCTCAGGTTGTCATTTGACATGGATGGATTGTTAGCTTTATGAATTTTCTTTTGAGTTCCTCCTCTTTTTGTAACTACAGTTAGCCTTCATCATTTAAATGATAACTTATTTGTAGTGATGAGTAAAACTATTGACAGATACATCATCTGTGTCTAACATCAACCAGGAGTCTTCTCTAGAAATGCTCCCTCTGCAAACATCGCTATCTCTAGTTTCTTCAGATCCTCGCCTCTCTCCTGATGAACCTAGATCAAACTCTGACAATCTCCGTGAATCTCCCACCAAAAGTGCCAGTTCTCAAGAAACTTGGCCTACAACTGATGCAACTGCAGCAAAAAAGATGGAGAATGGGAAAGCTGAGACTAATTGCCTTGAGCAGTCAGTTATTCGCCATGTTTCTAGTGTGGACAAAATTACTCTTCAGGACATTGCAAGAGAAAGTGTTGATATAATCTGTGAAAAAATACATCGTGTACCTGAGGGATTTCTGGAAGAGCTGAAGAATGGACTTCGAGTTATCCTTGAGCGTGGAAATGTTTCACATTATAGAGAGGAATTTTTTCTTTTGCGGAATCTTGTTCAGAGAAGACTTGATTTAACTGCCAAGACACTGATTAGAGCACATCGTGTGCAGCTTGAAATCCTTGTTGCAATGATTACTGGAATTCAGGGATTTTTGCATCCTAGCACCAGTTTATCACAGACTTCCCTGATTGAGATCTTTGGGTATAAGAGATGCAGAAACATAGCATGTCAAAACCAGCTTCCAGCTGATGATTGTACCTGTGAAATATGCACAAACAGTAATGGTTTCTGCAATCTTTGCATGTCTGTAATCTGCAGCAAGTTTGACTTTGAAGTGAATACATGCCGCTGGATTGGAAGTGATTGGTGTTCTCACTGGACTCACACAGATTGTGCCATAATCCGTGAGCAACTCATTTGCATGGGCCCTTCTTTGGAAAGCGAAGAAGGACCAAGTGAAATGGTTTCTAGGTGTCCAGCATGCAAGAGGACTTCAGAACTGTGGGGTTGGGTTAAAGATGTCTTCCTAAACTGTGCACCATCATGGGATGGAGAGGCCTTAATGAGGGAACTTGATTATGTTAGTAGGATCTTTCATGGTAGTAAAGACCCAAGAGCAAGGAAACTATTTTGGAAGTGTGATGATCTCAGGGAAAAATTGAAAAGTGAAAAAATGGAATCAAAAGCTGCTTCCAGGGCTATATTGATGTTTTTCCAAGGTACTAGAACTCTGCTTTTTCTGCAATTTCTGCCTGTTATATAATAAGGCAATATCATGCTTTTCATTTTTATGTTTCCGCCACTATTTATTGAATTTGATCAGATCGAAAAGTATGACAATGCTGATACGAGGATATAATAAGGCGCCCTTTAACTGTCACAGCAAGCACTGGGCTTTTTTATGGTAGTACAGCCCAACTCAAGTTCCAAACGACTATCTCCTCCTCCCAAATGGAATTCTTTCACATCCCACATGATTCGAACCCAGTACCTAGAGGCTAAGTACCAATGGGAAGCATCATGTGTACCACTTAAGCTTTTTTTTGGAAATATGTGTACCACTTAAGCTACTTCTATTTGAGAGAATCTTTAGGAAAAGAAAAAAATTTCGTCGACCTAAATAAAAATATGTCGATGTTTCTAGTAAACTAAAAGAATCGCTTAATAGCTATTTTGCTTCAATCTCTACTATACAAAAAAATTAAAAATGGAAGATTTAGTTACGATTAGAAAAGAAATCAACTTTCAATATATTTATCCCTGGATACTTTACTCGTATTCAAAAAATTGGGATTCTTGATCCAATTCCAAAAAACTTATGTTTCATAATTTTATAATTCCATTTGTCAATTTAGAATTGATTCTTCTTGGAAGTCCGATAAGGTAGGAGAGTTGTGACAGAGCAGCTAAGGGATGTCCTGGTCAAGCTGCTTGTGGTGGACTACTACGCAACTCATCTGGTGGTTGGCTGGGGGGTTTACATATAACATAGGTACTTGTTTACCTCTCGTGGCTGAATTTTGGAGTATCCTAAAAGGTTTAGAATGCGCATGGCATCAAGGCTGGAAACAAGTGTTCTGGAAAGTGACTCAGCATGTGCAGTTGCTCTGCTCTCCGGTAATGGAGATGCAACCTGTGAGTCTCACTTGTTGACTTGGATACCGGCATGGCTAAACAAAGACTGGCACGTCATTTGCACTCACACCCGTCGAGAAGGAAATACATGCTTAACTATCATACATTACTTATTTTAAGTTATTAAGGGGTTTCTATAAACCCACTTAACATAATTCTCACTTTTACAGTTTTCCTATAACTGGACATGCCTCTGTTTTCTAGTCACTGTGCGCAACCTACTTATCATTAATTTCTCATCTTTTAGTATGTTAAACTAGCTCAATTTCCTTTCCAACAAGGTATCACACGCCTCAATTGGAGTTCTTTAGCTCCGGTTATAACCGTTTGAAGTTGGACAATTAAAACTGTCTGCCAACCCAAAACAGAGCACCAAATCTCCCTCACCATTTCTACGATTTTTGACAATTTACTAAACCAATTGCTCTCAAATTTTTATACTGAATACTAGACACCTTGAGCTTTAATTTGATGTATCATGAGCCTAATTTGAGTAATAATTGAGGGAGAAACAATCTCTGGAAGTCACAGACCCGAACAACCCCTGCACTGGACCTCTTTGGGCAGTCTGTGTTCTTTTCGTTCTACAGGGAGCTATACAACTCTAAATGGTACCAAATTTTAACACAACATATCTGACATCTATACAACTCTATGGAGGAAGATATTCCCTCCCAAAGTTGACCCAAAAAATTCTCATTTATTATAAATTTCGACAGCATCTCCTTGTTTATTTAACTTATCCCACTTTGACCAAAGTGTGTTGTAAGCATCAAATGGTACCTAATAATAGACAAGGGTGGCACACAAGGACCAACAAACCTTGACGCTCTTACAACCCACAATATTTTACATCATTATCATTCACTTTATTATCAATGGCTTAACATGACTTATAACTTAAACTCATTTCAATCACTTGATTCAATTTCATGCATTCATAACAATTGGCATATAAATCATAACCTAGAATAGGCCTATTGCCCTTCCATCACATACATACTTTATAATTACACAAGATCCATAATGCTTTAAGTACAATTCTCCAAATATAACTATAAATAAATACATCAATGCTAAACTTAACCAAAATAATACTACATGAGTTACATGTTTGTCAATTTACCGTTTTACCTTTTTTACGTATTTAGACCCAGAACTCAGGATTTTCACTAATTCTACCTTTAATCCTTATTTTAACTATAGTTAAGTGTTTCAAAACTACGAGGTGTTATAAGTTGGCTTCCCCTAGTATCTCTACAAGCTTCAACTCTTTGAGGTGGCTATGGGACTAATCTGGAGTGCGGGTGGAATATGGGGATCGAACCGATGTTCTTTCCTTTTCACTTACTCAGCTTTCTTGCTACTAACTGAGCTATCACCATTTGGTGCCCGTTTCAAGTTTATACAAGCCTTTTGATTTTACCACTATTATTTTTTAAGTCATATAATTAGTTATTGCTCCCTCAAAACTTATAAAAGCCTTTAGTTATGAGCATAATTTCTATTTTTCTTGGTCATCTAAATTGTCATCACTTTAAAAAAAAAAAAGTATAGCTTGCAATTCCTCCCTCCCCCTAAAAAATTTTCTGGTTCAGCCTTTTATATGGTATCAGATTAGGTTCATTGTGGGCTTGCAAACTGAACCCTAATGTGTAAACCCTAAATTGGGGCGTTTCAACTCTGTCATAGTTTCATTCTCATTCCAACCGTTGTCTAGGCTGGCACTCAGCTCATTGTTGGTTTATTTTTATTGCTAATTATAATTGTTATTCCATTAACCGTGTGTGTGGCAGTTAGTATTATTAACTGAATTGGGTCCTAATCCCCTATTCCCACTCTTATTCTTGATAACGGAGGCCTTTTAATTGGGGCCAGCTAACAATACTGCACTTAGCTCTTAACACGATTAATTCAGGTAATCTTGTTATATGATATTTAAATGTTTCACACTTGCAAAGAAATAGTTATTGTTGTCTTGTGCTTACTGAACTGGAAATTAAAAGAGTGTGTATTTTATGTATTAATATGTTGAATTGCATTTTACTTGCTAGAATCTCAAGCAGATGGGAGCATTGGAGAGAAGAAACCTAAATTATCTGGGGAAGATAGACCTTATATGACAGAGTTGAGTGGATACAATTTTGAGACCCCGTTCTTTGACATTGAATACAATGGAGCTGTAAGGTTAAAAACCCTGTTCTCATGAATTGAATGCCTCTTTAATATGATAACCTAACACTTCGTTATTATTTGTCCTCTAAATATGCGTACAATTGGACCCCCTCAATTATTGTTCATTATATATTCACATGCAATGAAGGACAATGTTGTAATTAGGCTTTCTGTTATTTATTTGTTCATTAATTTTTATTTTTTTTTATGGTTTTAACTTGCACCGTGAAAATAATTTTGTATCCTGTGCTGATTGGTTTTGAGTTTTGGGAACTAATCATAAAGTTTATCTTATCTAAAATCTGTAATTCATGATAGCAGAACTTCACAATCATGGGAGAAGGAATCTGTTTCAACTGAAGATGGTTATCAATGGAGGACGTATGGTCAAAAAGACATCCTGAATGCCAAATATCCAAGGTGTATTATATATTAATTGATTCCTCTGTTTCTTCTTGATCTCTCAATATCTCTTATGAGCCTAATTGGGTATGTTTTGTCAACACAATTTGCAGGAACTACTACAGATGCACTCACAGATATGATCAAGGTTGCCTAGCAACAAAACAGGTGCAGAGAATTCAAGAGGATCCTCCACTTCACAGGACAACCTATTATGGAAACCACACTTGTCGTCACGACAGCTCATATAAGCTATTCCGAGGCAAAGAGAAGATAAGTGAGGCAAAATGCTCATGGTCATTATTACCTGACAGTTCTGACAAAAGCACTGATAGAACGACAAATTCATGTTCACACGAGTATTCTGGCCCGTCCTGAATTTCTAATACATAGTTTCAGTTAATTAAAATTTTGTATTTGAGTTCTATACCCACGACAACTGAACTTATCAAGGAGAGGAAACATAAGACTAGCTAAATAAATATTGGAGGAGTGTAGAGTGTTTAAGTATGATTTTTCTGATGTTTTATGAGTTAGAAAAATAAATTCTCATTCACTTTTCATCTTGTGAATATTGCCGTCAAGATTAAAAAGTTTAGGAAGACAAAAGCTATAAGGTAGTGTTTGGTTGAAAGTTTATTTTGGGATTGATGGAAAAGTGTAAGTGGATATTGGAAAATACCACGTTTGGTTTAGGTTTTTTCAAAAAATACTACGCAAATAGGATAGATGAAAAATGACTTTTGTGTTGAATTTTGAATGACTGTTACAGAATACCACTTGAGATGTGGTATTTTGAGAAAACTGGGGAAGTGAAAAAAAACAGGTGCAAAGTTTCTCTCAAACATAGATTTTGCATATTTAAATAAATTTCTCAGGTAATATTTCGGTCAACCAAACAACTTTTTTTATATTTTCCTATCAAACTCACTTTCCAATCATTTCCCTATCAATTACATTTTTCTAGTAAAAAAAAATTTCTCCCGAACCAAACACTACCTAAGCTATTGCCTCACCAACTAACTAATCAGACGCGAGCCCCTCCTCGGGCGGATTCCTCCTTTTGCTCCTCAGCCTATGGGGTATTAGCAGCCGTTTCCAGCTGTTGTTCCCCTCCCAAGGGCAGGTTCTTACGCGTTACTCACCCGTCCGCCACTGGAAACACCACTTCCCGTCCGACTTGCGTTAAGGTAGAGAACTGAACCAAGAATTCTCTTTCTTTATCATCAATCGAATCGCTGTTCGAGACCCAGGATTCTATTTTATCATCAATCCAATCACCATTCACGTTTGGAAAAAAAAAATCCAATGAAAAAAAAAACTTTTGTTTTTTAACAATTTGGGGGGAAGTAGAATTGCCTTTTTATTAAGGTCTTATGATCTACTTCCTATTTATTAAATTAAATTAAAATAAAAAAATTAGCACACTGTTAATAGGGTTAGCTCATGTTATATGTTACTTTGACCAAATGGCTAAACAAAAAATTATACTAACTTGAAGGAGTTAGGGATAGGTATTTACTCTCGATAGGGTCTTAAGTTAAAATTATTATTTTTAAATTAAAGTTAAAAATAAGGGTTGAAAAATTAAAAAAAAAATTTATTTGATAATTATATAAATTTTTTAATTTAAAAATTATTTTAAAACTCAAGATAAAAAAAATTATTTAACAAAAAAAATAGATTTTTTTTTTAAAAAGCTAGTGTACATTTTTTTTTAAAAAAAACTCCTTATAAGAGCTTCTAGTTTTTTTTTTTGTTTTTTTATGCATTAAAAAAACTTCTTTTATATTAAGAGCTTTTACAAAAATATATTTGACCATTACTTCTCTTTTTAAAGAGAAGTTTTAAAAATAAAGCCCATCAATGGAGAATATGTTTGTTTAAAGTGAGGGAAAGGCCCATCTACGACGTAAGTTAGATCATTAAACCTAAGAAGCTTTAAGTTGATTATGTATTTGAAGATTAAAAAATAAAAATAATTTAACTATGGCTTTCACAAATTCAGTAACACAGAACTTTGCAAAGAGGCACAAAATAGCACCTTGCTTTCTTTAAATTAATTTCATAAATCATTGATACTACATGGACAATGTATAATAAACGCACACATTTTTTCCTTTTTTATAAAAAAAAAAGCATTGGTATGGAGGCACCTAACAGGACCTTGTTTGCTTTCATCAATTGAATCCAATAAATCATTCATACTAGGGGTGTAAATGGGCTGGGCTGGGCTGGACTTTGGCCATCTTGGCCCAAGCCTACGTAAAAAAAATTCAGCTTATCTGGCCTACTGGCCTATTAAAGGCTTTATTTGTAAGCCAAGCCCGGCCTATTTTCAAAAATAAGAAAGTCTGACATGGCCTACAGGCCTTGTAGGCCTCCCACTGTATATAATAAGCAAAAAAAAATAATTGTATAGAGCAAAGAAAGTTCCATTCATGCATGCACTAGTACTTCTCATAAGAAAAAAATGATAAACAAGAAAGAGTCAACATAATATCTCAGCTCTAGAATATATAACATAGAGGAATAGAGTCAAAGTCAAAGAAATGGGAAAAATAAGAAAAATACAATTGTTGGATGCTGAAATAACGTCTACAAGAGAATGTCATTCATCTAAAAATCTTTAAACCACCGTCAAGACAAGGGAAAGAAGAGTATTATTGAAAGATCTTCATCAGTAATATCATAATCCAGCAAGGTACCCATTGCTCCATGGTGTTAAGCTGCAACAACATGTAAAATTCGGAGACATTAGACAAGTTTTCCTTTCATAAAATAAAATAGCACAAAAAGTAAGAGATATTGATATTTAGTACTTTGTGTCTTTGTCACATAAAATAAATACTATTTTAATAAATTAAATAGGTCAGCCTACAAGGCTGTAGGCCGGGCTTGACAAAATTGGCCTATGGCCTATTTATTAAAAAAGCTTTTTATAAGCTTAAGCCTACTCTACTTTTCTGAAAGGCCGGGCCTGGGCTGGACCAACGTAGGCTGGGCTGGGCCAGCCTGGCCCATTTACACCCCTAATTCATACTATGTGGACATAAGTAAAACTATCACACAAAAATACCGCTCAACAAAATTGTTCTGGTAGGTAACAATATGCAACAATAAATAAAGAGTTCAGTGGGTGTTCTTTACAGGATATAAGCTTGTGTTTTATCAGTAAGATAGAGTTATAATATGAAAAATTGCTCTTTTTTTCTTTTCACTTCAGTTGAAATAACTGAGGAGAGAAAAAAACATAACTTTTCATATTATAACTATGTCTTACCGGTAAGACATAGTGTTAAAAAATAAAAGGATACAAGTTTGTGTCCTTTAAAAGCACAAATCTTTTCCCCATAAATAAATAAGATAAAAGTTTAAATATGAGGTTTGTCTTTGAATCACTTATCTCTTATGTTTTTTTTTATTATTTACCCCAATATGTTTTATTCACATCCAATTCCCTCCTTAATAGTATTAAAATTTCTAATGAATATGTCTATTTTAATCTTCTTATAAAAAAATTATGTCCTAAAGACTACCCATTCCAAATGGAGTTGGTAGGGTTCAGATTTACAAGCCTAATTATTGTTTGGTATAATAACCACGTTAGTAAAATGAGTAATGAGGAATTTCCCATAAATTATCAGATAATAATTAGATCAAAAATCTAATTATGAGAATTAATTAGATACATAATCTAAAGTTTTACAATATAAGGGTCTGTTTGGATGAGCTTTTAAAAAAATGACTTTTTATGCATTTTTTTTTTTAAAATAACTTTTTTAAAAAGGTAAAGTTATTTTACTTTTGGATGTATGATCTGAAAATCACTTTTACATAAAAAATTGTTTGGATGTAAAAATAAAAAAGCACTTTTTATATATAAAATTACAATAAATGAGGGATAAAATAGCATGATCATAAGATAAGGAGAGATAAAATAGGTATGATGGGATAACGTTAAAATTGTATTTTAAAAATTTATATTATATTTTTTCCAAAAAAATAAATTAATTATCTTTTAATTTCTGCTTTTTTCAAAAGCAACCAACTACTGTCTATAAAAAAAAGCAGCATTTTAACTTTTATTTTAAATTTTGCTTTTTTAAAAAGTTGTTATCCAAATATCTAAAAATTCTCAAAAAACTTTTATTTAAAAAAAACAACTTTTTTAGGAATAAAAGCCCATCCAAACGGGCACTAAGTCACTTTTCAGGTAAAAGTGCAATTACAGTGAATTTTGGGGTAAAAATGCAAATTAGGTAAAATTACTCGAAACTTGTTGTAAATGTATTAGTAGGGAGAGGTTATACTTAATACTGAAAAGTTTTACTACTCTTATTACTAAATTAATCACAGTTGATTGCCGTCAATCTAACGGTTATAATTTATTAGGTCACACTTATTAATTCTCAATAAATCATATCCGTTAAATTAGTGAAAATCAACGGTAATAGCTTAGCAGTAAGGGTAGTAAAACTTTTTAGTAGTAAGTATAACTGCCCCAATATTAATAAGAGACTAATTGATGATGTTTTATGAGACAAAAACACATATTTAGAAATATCAAGTATTGACTAGAAAATATATATGAAACAAAGAGTAAAAGAACAAATTACCATGATAGAATGGTTAAATGAGAAATTACCCAAGTGGTAGTGTTGACTTGTGAGTCAACCAAGCTTAAGTGAGTTAGAAAATCAGATTTTCAACATCAAACCAAAACACCCTTATCGATAGTCATCTTCCCCAAAGAGCCAAAAACATCATTGATGAAGAGCTCCAAACATAGTGTGAGCTAGAGTGGATGAAATTGATAAGTTCCAAAGCCAAAAGTGTGTAGAATCATCGATTGATTTTCATTGGAAAGCATTGGTGAGTGAGATTTTCCTCCTTCAAAGCTTAGGTCGAAAATGTATTCTTAGTGATTCTTGAGCTTTTCAACCATTGGAAGCTAGCAAATCCCTCCTCTCATCTCTACCTAAAGCATTGGTAATCAAGTTTCTAGCTTTAGCATTCCAATTAGCTTCTTTAATTTCTTCTTCCGAAAATTCCTTTAGATTCTTTGGAACATCATTGTTGCTTTCATCCTTTTTGGTTGGGATTTTATATCCCTCTTCAACAATATTCCAAATTCTTAAATCATTGGACTCAAGAAATATTTGTATCCGACTTTTCCAATAAGCATAATCGGTGCTATTAAAGAAAGGAGGTCTTGTAGTTGAAGTTCCCTCAAGAGGCATATCATTTTTCAAAGAGGCCATCCCTTCTCTAGAAGCGGTTAAGCTCTTTATACAAGAGTTCAAGCTATGATACCACTTGTTGGACAAGTGGCCTCAAACTCAAGAGGGGGGTGAATTGAGTTTTAAAATTATTTTTGTAAAATGACTCACTTTTCTTTTTGAAAATAATTTTCTTGAGTTCAAATAATTTACTACACGTAGAGACAAAAAATAGCAAATAATTAGCAAGATGTGAAATTAAATATGCTAAAATAATCTAACAATGCTTATGCAAA